ATAAGCTCCAGCTCAGTTTTATGTGAGAAAACTCAGCACTTAAAATTAATTTCCCACATCTGGGTGTTTGCTCGGGGCACTTTTGTGCAATAATTCGGTATGATTAAAGCATATACGTGCTGGGATTGCAAGAAATTTTGCAAAATGTGCATAAAAGCACTTAATTGTTTAAAACTTCGAAAGATGTTAGATAAAAAGATGACACGAAATACATAATATACCTTTACATACATTTCTACAGAGATGTCTCAGACAGCCTACACTCTACGCTCTTTAAGCACAAAAACGAAGTGCAAAAAAAATTCATATGAAATTTATTTAAGCGCAAAGCTAAACGCCGTGAAGCTCACTTGACACACATATAAAAAAAATTCGAAGCAAGAAGCATTCCAACTGCCGAGCAGGGCCTTACGCACACAGACGCTGGCATTCTCATAAATGTCGATTTCGTGCCAGGCTGTCATTGTCAACATCAGTTGGCAGTTATGAAGTTTCCAGCTTACTCCTCAAGCTAAGTGTTCCCATAAAGACGCACAAAAAACCAGCGAGAATCAACTAAAAAGCAAAGAATATAAATGAAGTTTCGTAAGTGCACGCATATGCCCGTGAAGTTGAGTAGATAAATAATGTGAGCATAAAAATAAATGTGCGCTTCCCGTTTCCACAAGTTTTTTGTTCTGCGTGCATGAGTTTATTTACTCACAAACACACACACGTACACATGCACCTGCGCTCGAGCGTTTGAAGTCCAGCGGCGTTTTGGGGATTGAGCGAATTCTCGTTCGGCTAAAATGACTCTGCTGCTAAAGTTGCTGATAAATGTGTTTAAGTGCATGATAAATACCAAGGCACACAAGGTGCGGCACACACACATTGGCATGTGCATGTATATAAATATTTAATATACATTTATGTGTGTAAGCTTGTAATTTGACAAAAACATTAGAGAAATTTGTTTATATAAGCATACAATGCTGTCCCTTCCACCTACCACTTGGTATGAGAACAATGCGCCTGTGTTAAACGTATTTGCTCCTGTCGCCGCTGTCGTCGTTTGTCTTAGTTGACACACACTTTTCATACAAATAAATATTCATAGTTCTATGTGTGTGTGTATTTTGACAACCATTCAAGTATGTAAGTGTCATTTGTTTGCAGCGTCTTGCCTTCTTACATGCATACGAAGGTAGTGCGCTTGAAAGTATGCTATATTCGCAGCACTTTAGTGGCGTAAGACATGTTTGCATTTGTCCATATCAAATGTGAGTTATTTTATGAAGGCACAGTAGTTTTATACACAAATATATATACATATATGAATGTATGTATAACTATGCTTATACTTTTTGGTTGCCTTGGCACTTATGTATGTAAGTTTGTTTACCTATGTATGTGCTTAGCGGCTGGCAACTCATAACCATTTTCATATGATAATAGCTGTTAGCTAAACGAAACTTTCTTTTCGACTCTCTTTTAGTAACTTCAATTTTATTGTTATGAGTTTTCTAAAATTTTACGAGATGCTTCCTTTTTTGGCAGATATAATGTAGAGCATTGAAAGAGTAGAAAAGTTAGTTGCAATTTGTGCTGCTTGCATAAATGATACGGATATGCATATAAGAATATACCTTGGGAAAATGTACGTCCTAAATATAAATATGTATTTAAATTCTATGAATTTTCTATATATGCACGTTATTCTTCTAACAGTGTCAGTGAAAATTTATATTACTTTAATATTTATATTTCCAATGTTTGGATAGAAAGAAACTTTCTTCTTTGCTCAGAAATAAGTTTTCTCAGATATATGTGCCAAATTGTGAATACATTTTCTAAAAGAGAATACCTTTTGGATTCTTAATCGGAAGAATGCTAAAGTCAGGTTTGCTTTTATATAAGAGACTTTTAGCAAAATGCGCATACCTGCTAATAGCAGGTTCAGTGGAAAGAATTCCATTATTTTTGCATTAAATTAAAGGTTTTATTGAACTTAATCAGAATAATCGGATTTAGGTTCAATATGCATTATTTCGTGAGGTAACTTCTTGGTATGTTGAAAGTAAACTTTACTGTTACTCTCATAAAAACCCTCGTGGAAAATGTGAGACAGTCTATATTCACAGCTTCTCGTAAGATGAGATTTCATTAACAAATCATTTGCCATAGCCAACAGTAGAAAGTAATCACTTGGTGCGCGGTTTGGACTACAAAGTGGATATATTTCTAAGATAAGAGGTTCTCATGTATCCATTTATAAAATATAAGTCCATGTTTCTGAAGTATCTAATTAGTCTCTTTTGGGCGATTTCTTGCTTCAGATGCTTGAATATTGACAGAATAAGTCATAATTAATAGTATTATCGCAGGGGAGCAGCTCATAGTAGCCTTTCTGTACGTCAATCCCGCTTTGGCATACCGTTTACGCCGCTAAGAGTGTTTGCATTTAGCGTTTTTGTAAGTGATCCACTTTCGAAATGTATCGATTTGGCTGCAATTTAGTGATGATTGGTGTATGAAAATTCGTTCTATGCAGTTGTTTTGAGTTATTTATTTATTCTTTTTTTGTAACCGGCCTTATTTAAATGATTCCAAGCGTAATCGAAAGATTACTTACAGACTCGAAGACTTCACTTACTTTATCAATATTTTCGGTCTTCCAGAGCATGGTCGTTTGAGAAGAACTGTAAATTATAACATATTTTCTCACTCCTGGTATCTATTTTTGAAGCATGTTTCTAGTACGAAATCTTATACTCCGTGAGGTACAGCTAACTAAACCATCTATGGTAAAGATAATTTCTTTTCCTAAACAAGTCTGTATACGAGTATACAGTATATATATTTCTAAAGTCTACCAACTGCCCACTTTTCCTTTTTCTATTGTCTGTATTCCATCTCATCGTTACTTTTATCAGCTTGGCGATTAATTTTTATTGTGGAAAACTGTATGAAATTTATCCAAAAATACTCTTTATTATTTTTAATAGGTAATCAATGAAGAACTCTCCTTGGAATTGATCACTTTGATGTTTAAGAGAAAATAAGTATGCATTTAGTATTCCTTAGCAGTTCATGACTTCTTTTTTACACAAATCTTTAGAAACTTCTCGTAAAGAAGAGATTGTGGAAATCCTTCGCAGAGTAGAGCAAGTTCTCTTCTTTTGAAAACTTTTTACAAGGCTGAAGCTGTTAGTATTAAAACATATTGAACTAATACCCCAAAAAAAGCTTAAAATTTTATCTGAATGGAAGAATATACTATACAGTACTCTGATTAGAGTTATACTAGCACTAAGTTGTATTTTAAATAAGTTTGCGAGTTTCTTAGCGTTGATTTTGGCTTTGTGTGTGCTGAGGCAAATCATTTTAAAACAAAAATCTTAAATCGAAATTTTCAAAGATCCACAATACTGGCGTTTAAGCACTCGTGATCTTTCACAACAAATAAAAAACGACAGAACAGAAGAGAAAGAGCGAGAGAATGAGTTTGCAAAGAGAAAATATCGTTAACTGAGTTCTATAAAGTGCGGCTAACCAATATAGACTGTATTAAAATTTTGAAAAATACATGATAATAGAATTTAAGGAAGAGAATTTAGCAATGAACTCTTTATATAGAACGTAAAAACTTTCGAGAACAATTAAATGAAAATTTAGAGTATATTACTACGTTATGTTTTAAGTAAAAGTTTTGATGGTTTTTTAGGTTTTTAACCTCTAAATTTATGCCGAAAATATTTTTCTTTTATTCTTTAATAACTTTTAAGATATATATTGTTGGCTTATTGGTTGCTGAAAAAATATTAAATTTGGTTAATACTATTTAGGCAGAAAATATTCAACAATTACTTAGACTAACTTTTAAACTATCGGCATTACAAGAGCATGAGCTATATGAAAGAAATATTATAGCGAAAGTTCAAAGGCTTAACGAATTCTTTTAAACAACTTTATAAGCTTAATTCCGAGTCTTAAATTTCCTTTCAGCTATCCAACCACTTACTTTAGCATATTTTCGCATTCTTTCACGCTGCGAACCCTTTTATTTTATTAACCAAATTAGTCTGAGTAGCATATTTTTCCGCCCTTTATAACCAATAAAACTGCTACTCCATAATTCTGCGCTAATGAGAACGCCTCCAAAGTGCTGAGGGAGTGAAAAAGTTGAGCGCGCAGCGGCAAGTGTCACTTAATTTCTATGTAAGCACTTGACAGTGCACCACAGCTGATGGAGTCTATTTCATTAACACGTTTACCAAGAGTTACAGCGTGTAATGCAAGCAGCGGCGGCAGCGGGTCTGAGATGAGGCCGCTGTGTAGTTACAGTGTTTATGCAAAGTGCGCGCTCACTGATGACTGTTGCGATGGTGGAAAACAAGTGTAATGCAACTGTGTGGCATGCAGCACGCTTTCCACACACACACACACACATTGCAAGTTTGGCGGGTGGTGGTAGGGCAATGAATGACTTTTGTTGACGCTGATAATTGTGCGCGCATTGTGGGCGACAAATGCCGCGAAATGGTAATTTCGTTAGCACGAATGCAAATAGTCAAATGCACTGCGCGCTCGCTCGCTCGACTGCAGGCAAACTGGTTGTACTTACATTGTTAAGCATAAAAGCATAATTACACACATACACAGAGGCGATTGTTTGCATTTCTTTCATTATGTAATACGGCAAACTGCCAGCGTTGACGCAGCTGCAGCCGCATGAAGTAACACAAACAATTGCTGAAATTATGCAAGCAAAGTCATTTGTTCGCTGAGTGTGAGTGCTTTTATTCTGTGTGTGTATTTGTATAATGCATTTTAATGTGCGCTCATACTTTGTCTGTCTGTGCGGTGTAAAAAGTGTAGAAAAAATATATATTTACATATGTATTAAGATAGCTAACGGCACTTGCAACTGAATATTTTATAGGCAATAAAGTGAGTTGCATTGTTGAAAGCAGACATTTCCTTTTGAAATGGTAAAATCTTAAGAGAAGTGTACTCACCAGGCAGCGTCGTTAAGGTGGAGTGCTTAACAGTTTTATAATTTTATTTCAATTGCAAATTTGCAGTCACGTTTTTAATCTGAAATGAAAAGAAAGGGGGAAAATTTTTAGATAACTTCATAAAATTTATGTGCGTTCGAGAAATCACTTACTTTAGATATAATAATAAAGGCACATGTATTCGACACTTTCCGAATTCCAATTTTTCTAAAAAAAAAACTCCGAAAATACCCGTGAATACTCACAAATAATTATAAAGTTTTTTTTCGAATTTGCGGAAATACTCTTGTTTTACCAAATTACTCCGAAACTTTCCGAAAGTGCCTAAACTATTTCTTCCACATTCCCAAAAGTGCTCCAAGTTCTAAAGGTTTTCGGAAACATACCGCTTTACTCCGAAAATACTCCGAATATTGCCAAAATTTTTCTAAAATTTTCTGCACACTCTTATAACTACATACTGCAATTTCTGACTTTTTTTGAACATTCCAATTTTTCTGAAAACACAACTAATTTTTCAAAAAATGCACTGCAACCAAGTTCTCACGAAACAATTTCCGATCGTTTTAAAGTTATGGGAAAGATAAAAAGTTTGGAATTTGAATTGAATGTTAAACAGCAAACCGAAAAAATACTTTCCCAAATTTTGCTTCAAAGACACGAAAGCAAATCAGTTTTGCATCCAATAGTCACTGGCGATGCAAAATGGATTTATTTTAAGAATCCTAAACGGGGGAAATCATTGCTTAATTCGGGACAAACTTAAACATTGCTGGCATGATTAGTAGGCAATGCTCTGTGTTTGGTGGGATAAAAACGGCGTGTTCATGAGCTTCTAAAACTTGTTGAACCTGTTAATAATAATCGCTACCGACAATAAATAATAAGACACGCAGCAAAGTAATTTCTTTATATTGACAATGCATTTGCATACAAAGCAAAATCGGTTCTGTGTATAATCCAAATACTTGGCTGAGAGCTGCTACCTCAACCGACGTCTTCACCAGACTCGGCACCTTCCGATTGCCATTTGATTTCACCAATTATATGTACGAATAAACTTAGCAGTGCTTCGATTCCTACGCAGAAGTCGAAAATTGGGTGTCTGATTTGGTTTTTCTTTTTCACAAGACGAACATTTCAATTTGCACGGTACTCAAAACTTGCCAGAAAGGCGTTCGAAATGTGTAAAAAACTATGGTCAATAATTTTTAGAATTTTTTTTTTTTGCTTTCCCATTCAAAATTAGTATTTCATTTTCACAAATAAATTTATATTAAAAAATTATGTTTTCGACAGTTACACTAACTTTCTACTAAAATTTCCATAAAATATAATTTACTGTTTTTAATTCGAGTACTCATGTCAAAGCCACTTAGTCCCCGAACTGAAAGTTGCAATGAACTGTAAAATCCCTAAGATACGTTGGCAACGTCCATAAATATTTAGTGTGTACATAAAAGTAGAAAACAACAATAAATTGGCGCTGTAAAACTGAACAATCTGCAAATAAAAATGGCATACAAGGAAAATTCTGGTATATGCAGACCGGCAGATGCAGGTGGAAATATAATATTTGTGCGACGAGACAGACAGACAGACAGACACGACGCATTCATTGCCTCGTATATGAATAAACAATGCATACGAAAGGACTCTGGCATAAGTCCGCAGGCAGACGGGCAGACGAGGCTGTAGCAGCCAGACACAGCTAGACCTGCATAGCCATGAGGCTTACCATATATGCGTTCGTAACGATTTTAAGCTCCACTTTTTTAAGCGCCATATTTTTCTTAATAAAAACATCGGAATTCTCAATGTATTAATACTCATGAATGGGTGACTCTGCCGTATAGCCCGTAGCATTCGGTTGGCAGCGCTGGCGTTTATGCCACCGGAGGGGACACTGGCCGGCGCACGTGTGCTCGATAGCAGGTAGAGTCAGGTGCTAGAGTAAGCGCGTACTTGCAACACCATTGCGATGTATGTATGTGACGTATGTGTGCATGGGCGTGTATGTGCTTATATCTCCACTCTAGACACATGCAAGTTATTCATCGCACATTTATTGTTTTTATGTCTTCTCCATACACCTGCAATCAACTTGCTGCAGAACGGTAAATCGCTTTGAAAACTATCCCCGCGCTGCCCATTACGCCTTGCTGCAGCAAAATGGTGCGCTTTGGTATAAAGCGAGATAGATCTATTGCCATGCGCTAGTATGTGAAAATATTCATGAATTTGTGTGTGTGTGTATGTGCTTTGCGAGCAGTTGTTCGAGTCGGAAACTGCCAGCTTTATTATAAATTCCATAATTTCGGCGTTAAACGTTGGCGCGTTTGGTGTACAAGTAAGTATGTGTGCATAATACATGCTCGCTTTATTTATATATGCCAACAACACATGCATACAATAACGCTCATCCATGCATGCATGTACATATGTGTGCTCATATAGGCTTTTTCACTCAAACTCTCCACGGATAAAGTTTTGTGCGTTAAGCGCCGCTTCAAAAACAGCACTCCATTGTCACCGGAAGGAAGGAAATTCTTCATGAAATTTCATGATTATTAATGTATGTGTTGTAGTGACGGCTAACTTATATATTTATGAAGCGCAAAAACCACAATTTACCCAGTGAGCGCGAAAGGTTTTTCAGCATTAGTTTGGACATATTATTTTCAAAAAGCTTTTAATTATATAGAAGAAGAAGACTAAAATTTAGGGTGGAAAAAATTATTTCGAAAAAAAAAAATACTTTTAATAAAATTATCTTTCTTTCGGTTATTTTTGAACGATATTTGGTTTGTTTATAAGTCACTAACATACTGGAAATATAAATAAATATCAAACCTTTCAAGCGAAGTTTTTCTTATACATAAGTAGTTAAGTATAATATAATTTAAATGTTGCCTACTTTTAGGGATATTTTCGAAAAGTTTAATATTGCATTTCAAACCAATTTCCTGATTTTCGGCTAATACCAGCGCTTTCAAAAATATCAGTAAATACTTATTGTATGCAATGCTCGTTAAGCAACCCTAAATGTAGGAAACATCTTACTGTTGTCTTGCAAATCGAAATTATTATATATAAATACAACATAAGCCTGCAATTGTGTGTAAATTAAAATATGTTCTCTACTCTCAAAGAAGATTATAAAAGGGTTCTACATATTTACTGGTAAACTTCGGAAAATAATTTTTTATTTAATTTAAATATATATCGTCCGCCAAATAGTTCGGAGATTTTTTTCGGCAGCCGGCATTTTACTAAAATAAAATTTTTTTTTTAGTACTTTTTCGATTATTACCTAAATTATTCTATAGTAATAATAAAAATGAGATAATTTTAAGTAGAAGAATTTCTCTCACCGTCAGGTAACTTTTTCAGAGCTCCTGCTGGAGATGAGTTATAAGTAGCAGTGAATCAAACTTATTTCACTAGACGTGTATTTTTTGTAGGTGAATGAAATGCGTTAACCAAAAAAAAAAAAAAAAAAAAAAAAAAAAAAAAAAAAAAAAAAAAAAAAAAAAAAAAAAAAAAAAAAAAAAAAAAAAAAAAAAAAAAAACATACATGTTTTCTGACCCATAAAGTATGCGAAAAAAGCAAAATTTTTCCATCAAAGAGTAGACACACGAGACTCAATCCATATCTTCGCTTTTCGCTTTTCTTCGATATATTTAAGTTCTAAATATAAGATCATTCCAATGGCATCCGCGAGATTTTTTTTAAGGAACGAATTTGACTTATTGACTTACCAAATCTCAAGTATTTCTTCCTCTAAATCACGTTCAATATTCTTACTTCTAAAGCTTGGAAAGAGTGATGTTTATTGTTATAGTCCAATGACTACAAATAACGCCATAAGCAACAGTTTAATGGTGTTAATGTCATTCAATGTCATTACAGGTGAATGTAAGAGTTGTTCATGTATAATTTATGGATTTAACGCACCACTGAAATGGAGGTGATCCTCATCGGATAACATGATACTTTTTACAGAAATTGTTATCGTTTTCAATTTGTTTCAAGGCAAATTCCAGTAAATTCAAGAAGTTTCCGGTGCTCCAATAGCTGCAGTACTTGAGTGAGAACAATTTTAAATAAATGCAATCCCAAATTCTTTCCCACAATCCGTCAGCTTGTGGTTTGAGATAGTTACAATTCTCGAGAAAGTTTTGGTAACGACGAATTGCAGCCTTCAGCGACACTTGCATGAATGGCAAGATAATTGCATTACTGGCACTTAAAAATTATGTAAAGAGAATGTAGGCTCAACATATTTAATAATTCGACGAAAAGCGAGCACAGTTGCAGAAGTATTACGACCATAAAATGGCGAAGCGCAAGAAAAGTTACAATTGCAGAAATATTATTCTTCTTTATTGGCGTAGGTACCACTTACGTGGTTATAGCCGAGAACGACTGGAGAACAATTATTTTGATAATAAAATTAAATAAATTGTAAACGCAGTTTTTGCGTTCTAACTATCCATGATGAAATCTTAAACATCACTATTCACCCGGTATCTTCAATAAATAACTTTTCAAAATAGCAACTCAAGTTGATTTCCTCTCAATAGAATCCGCCTTAAATCTACTTTACTTAATTTTAAGAACTCACAATATGTTTTCGCAATTTGCTTTGATAACAAAAATGGAGCTTATCATTTATGGGGTAACCGTACAAATGAATATTTATATAAATGTATATAATTGTGTGATTATACATACATACGTACATAGTGCGCGAATCTAACCAACGCACACAAATATATATATATACCATATATAAATATGTAGTATGTATATATGAAACGCGCAAAGTTTATGAAAAAACATTTTTTTCGGCCGCCTTCCGGATATTCGCTGAGTGCGCGTGGCTTTTTGGTTGGATTTTAGCCGCAATATTTTGGCGGAAGCGCTCTGTGGCGGAAATTAAATAACTTTTTTATACTTCGCTCGATTTTGCTCGCCTTTATTTATATATTATATTTGCTGAGTGTTTTGCGCGCGCGCAAGTTTATGCCGTGTAATATATGTAGATTAACAGCCAAATAAATGCATAAATGTAT